GCATTTCAAAAACTGAGTACAGTGAGAGGTTAGGTGCGCGCACAGTCTCAAATAAGGAAAAAGGACCCTCCAGTGGTTTTAAGAAAATAAGAATGGGGGAGAAGACTGATTTACAAGGTCGAAAGATTTCTGGAACCAACAATAAGAAAAAAGGAAAGGAGAGTAGTTTATATCCTCTGCAGGAGCTTGAAGCTCTGCAAATTGAAAGTGACCATGAAAGTGAGCATGAAAGTTCTGGCTCAGAAGAAGAGGTAGAAGAATTAGATATAGAGGAGGAGGCAGAATTAACCAGCGGTAGGGCCATGAGGTCATCCCAAAGGGCCCATCCACAGGTCCTAAGGGAAGCCTACCCATTGCTCATTAAGAGTTTACAGCTATGGGGTCTTCAAATAGCTGCTGAGAAGGTCCAGATTACAGACACTGGCCAATTCTTAGGTTCTGTTATTCTTCCTGAAAAGATTCTACCACAAAAAATAAAAATTTATAGGGACGATTTGCAAACATTAAATGATTTCCAAAAGTTGTTAGGAGATATTAATTGGCTGCGACCGTTTTTAAAAATCCCCTCTGCTGATTTGAAGCCATTGTTTGATATCTTGGAAGGGGATACTCATATTACCTCCCCTCGGGCCTTGACGCCAGCAGCAGAAGCAGCCTTATTACTAGTGGAGGAATCCATTAAGGAGGCACAGCTGTGCCGTATTGATGAAACTCAACCATTTGTTCTATGTGTGTTTAAAACAGAAAGCTACCCACTGCTGTGTTATGGCAGGATGGACCATTACTGTGGATCCATCCACATGCTTCTCCTAACAAAAGTATTGATTGGTATCCAGCTGCTATAGCTCAAATTGCCCTTAAAGGTCTTAAAATGTCTGTTAGTCATTTTGGTAAGCATCCAGCGGTTATGATAGTTCCCTATACCTCCTTTCAAACTTTGGCCGCCACCTCTGACGATTGGGCAATTTTGGTTACCACCTTTTCAGGAAAAATTGATAATCATTATCCCAAACACCCTCTGCTGCAGTTTGCTGCATGTCATCCCATTGTGTTTCCCCGAGTTACATCTTCTGCCCCGCTAAAAGACGGGGTGATGGTGTATACAGATGGCTCCAAAAATGGTGTGGGAGCCTATGTTGTGGATTCTAAAATATATACAAAGAACTTTTCTGCCACCTCACCCCAGGTGGTGGAATGTATGGTGGTTTTAGAGGTTCTTCAAAAATTTCATTGTCCTCTTAATATTGTTTCTGATTCTGCCTATGTGGTTAATGCTGTTAAATTATTAGAGACCGCTGGAATTATAAAACCTACTAGTACAGTGGCAGCTCTTTTCCAGAGGATACAGGACTGTTTACTAAATAGGAGAGCTCCATTTTTTATTACACACATAAGAGCACATTCGGGGCTCCCGGGCCCCATGAGTTTAGGTAATGATCTGGCTGATCGTGCTACGCAGCTTGCTGCGGTAGCTCTTGCCTCCCCGTTACAGACCGCTAAAACCTTTCATGATAATTTTCATGTTACAGCTGAAACCCTGCGTAAACGTTTTTCTCTTACCAGAAAGGAGGCTCGTGATATTGTAACCCAATGTCACAATTGTTGCCAGTTTCTCCTGTCAGACACACTGGCGTAAACCCCAGAGGGATTGCGCCTTTGCAAATATGGCAGATGGATGTGACTCATATCACTGCCTTTGGAAAACTTCAGTATGTGCATGTGTCAATTGACACATGCTCTGGCGTTATTCATGCCACACCACTTACAGGAGAAAAAACCTCTTATGTCATTCAACATTGTCTTGAGGCATAGAGTGCTTGGGGCAAGCCCACATCTTTAAAGACGGATAATGGGCCTGCCTATACTTCTCAAAAGTTTAAACAATTTTGTGCACAGATGCAAGTCACACACATTACAGGCCTGCCTTATAACCCCCAGGGGCAAGGTATTGTAGAGCGAGCACATCGCACACTCAAATCTTATCTACTTAAACAAAAAGGGGGAATATTGAAGGAATTACCCCCGACACCAAGAGTAGCCATTGCCATGGCTCTGTTCACTATAAATTTTTTAAATCTGGACGATAATGGCCAGAATGCTGCAACACGACATAGTTCGGATCCGCAGCGGCCCAAGGATTTGGTTATATGGAAAGATGTGTTTTCTAATGAATGGAAAGGCCCGGATCCCATCCTATTGAGATCCAGGGGAGCTGTTTGTGTGTTCCCGCAGGACCAGGAAAATCCATTCTGGGTGCCAGAAAGACTGACCCGAACGGTGAGGGGTGACCCACAACACGCGGACTCGCCTGAAGATTTGGCTTCTGTTCCTCCTACCATTTTGCGGATGGATGACAACGGTTACGAAGGAGCAGGTTACGAAGGAGCAGCGATGGGGGATACTCTCAGCCTTCCTGAAGCCGACACCAGTCAGCCATAGAGTGGCAGTGTTTCCTCGTTTTTTTATTTTACAACCAATAAGACTCTGGGGCTCCCCTACCTTCTATTTATAAGCTTATTGGGTGGGGGTGGGAATGTTTGGAACAGCCCTATGCTTTGGATCAGTGTTTCTCCTCTGGATGGTCTGCTGACTCAAATCCCAAAGTCGTAGGGACAAAGTGTGGTTATTGCACAAGCGCTGGCTGCCCTGGAACAGGGAACCTCTACTGATGTGTGGTTATCTATGCTGAAGCAGTAAGGTTTATGCCAACCAGCTCCTGCACCCCTAGGACACCTCTGTCCATTGCACAGGGTGGAGTGCTTGGCTTAGCTAGCCCTGAAGGTTGTCGAGCTAAAGAGCATCGCACAGAGAATGGCCCTCTCTGAGAAATATGTCGCCCTGCATAAGGGTTTCCTGCCGTATATTCCCTTTCCCAGAAAGATGGCAGAGGGCAGACCGGATAAGTTCCAGGTGTCATGAACCTAGGGGCAGATTCCGTGCAAGCCCATTATAATGTTTCCACTTTGGGAAGTGCGACCTCTATCTTTGCCTTCTGAGGGAATTGCCTTTCTGCAAAAAAGTAAAAAAAAAGGGGAGATGTAGAGGACCGCAACCACATTCGCCATTCCAAGATGGCGTTGACATCCGGTTCCACTGCGTGGTGAACAGGATAACGCGCATGTGTTGGCAAATTTCCAACGCTGTAGTCCCTGCCTCTCCCGAGGCGTCATCTGGGATGATGGGCAGCTGACCAATCTGAGAGTGACACGTCCGAGGCGGGGACTGTTTCCTATATAAGGGCTGGGTTCGCCTCGCTCTGGGTCTCCGCTATGTCGGCTTATGCTCTCGCTCTCAAGATGCATTAAAAGGCTGTTCTGCAGAAGGATCCTACGTGCCCTGCGTCGTTCTTGCTGGCGAGACAGTAGCGCGGGACAGGAAACAGTGTTTTTCATATGCCCTGTGTACATTCTTTCATGATACACGATCTTCAGGTCACTTACACTCAATACAATATAAATGTATATACACAGTTGTTACACTATATTGCTTAAGGTATAAAAACAGGTAAGCAGTTCAACACAGTTCAACACAGATACAATGTGCTGTCAATTTTTTTTGATTTACAGTTTATTGAGACCAGTAGTGTAGAAACCACAGATACAGAGGACCAATGATACAAAAGAAACTGGAAAGTATCAGGTCCTTTTTATTATAATATATATATGGATAAAGCCTGAGACTCTGTATATTTTAAATTTTCTTTGCTAATTTTTGTGTATCCACTATTTAGCCACCAGTGCTTAAATGAGTGCCAACAACTGCTGTCGTCATAAGATGGAGTTTACCTAGGTGTCAAGCACTATGGTACTATGGCCAGATTGACAGTTTTATTCCTTCTGAAAACCATTCCAAAACTAACCCAGAAAGAAATCTTTAAGAACAATCAGGAAAAAAAACCTCACACAACAGTAATTAAGGATAGTCCTAATATATGGTAAAATCCTAGAAATCTGGAATCAGTACATGAACAATAAAGTCATTTTAAAAGAAAAATCTAAGATAAATGACATCAGCAGAACTTTCAGTAGAGTCTTAAGACAAATGGACAGATACACAATAGTGGTTCCTTCCAAACACCTTAAGTCAAGTTAGAATCTAACCGGACACTGGATGAAAGATTCAAATACTAAAATCAATTTTAATACTACCAAGAAAATATAAAATAATTATTATGTTCTTAGAATGAAATGGATAATACTAAAAATATAAAAACTCAGAAGTTCTTTGGTCACCAGATTTTCCCTCATGGTAAACAAGTACATGTGCTCATATCTATGTGTATACTACACATTTAAACAGAAAAGGAATAGTTTCATCATTATATGAAGCGCAATTAATATGAGAAATAATAAAAAAAATTGGGTAAAGAACTACATGTAAATACGCAATGTTTTAAAATATGGAAAGATAACTCTAAATCTAAAAACATAGAAATGACAAATCATCAACCAAAGTCATGATGGATAAATTTTAAAATGTGATAGCCCAAAATACTGTTTTTTAGGAATTTGTTCTTTAAAAGACAAATGTATAATATACATATGAAGGATGATTGATATTTAAAAAGTAGGGAATAGAACAGACTAAATGTCCTGGAACATTTATTACAAGAAATGAAGATGCTTGGCATGTGGTTAACTCAAAGGTTCAGCTGTAAACACTGGTCATATGAATGAAAACTGTCTGTCATAGGAAAGACTCTTTAAAGAGGTAGACATGTGAATACAGAACATCCCAACACTTCACGCTTACAGGACAAGCCTATAGTCAAAGGGGCCTTAGGGGGAAGTGGGGGGAGGAGAAAGAAGCATATCTACGTATTTTATACCTTTTTATGCTAAGTTGATTATTTTTACCATGTACATCTATTATTTTTAAAATATGATATTTAAAAATACAAGCAATGTACTTAGCAAAAAGGAAGAAAAAAAGCAAAAAGAACTTTTAGTTGTGGTATAGAAAAGAAAATTATAAACTTTTCTTTAGACCAACATATTTACCAAAAACTCACGGATGATATCATAGTCTTCTTTTTTCTGGAGCGTTTTCAGACAATCCCTCATGGCAGTTTGTGAAGAGTAATTGAATATTAATGGTCGGATCTGCGCCAACTGAGTCAGCTCCTTTTCAGAGACAGTCGTTTCAACGTCTGAGGAACAGAAAGGACCACATTTCTAAGTTTCACATAGTTATTCTTTATTTCTCAGATTTTTTTACTCTATAAATACAAAGCTTTAAACTTCAACAGAAGTTTACCTTTCCAGAAGTACCTCTTACTTTTAAATAGACTACCACTGTTTTAGAGAAAATACGCTACCTACCTTGAAATGATAGAAAACCCATTCAGTGGTATAACAGACACAGTAGACTGAAGCATATTCTGTCTTGTAATACGAATGTGGTATGTAGATTGACAACTACATGAAGGGATATGTATACAACTTCAGACTAAGACAAAAACAAAGCTCCTTACCCTCTATGGATTTAGTATTTGGAGTATTTAGAAGTATTTGTAAGTCCCTAGAGTCTAAAGAAAAGGATATAGAGAGTCTAACACATGTCTCAATCTATTAAAATAGAACAAACAACACAAAACACATCAAAAGACAGAACAGGTTTAAGTATTTCAACCCACAAGCCAGAATAACAGATATACATCACACATAACAACAATAGAAGAGTATGTTCTTTATCAAATAGCACATATGGAATCCATGATTTTATAATGACCTTTAGGTCACACTGTCAAGTATAATGCCAAACATCTGAAATTGTACAAACATCATTTGAGGGTCAAACTGCAGTTAAGTCTAGAAGTTTGTCATAAAATATACTTTTTAAGTTTCACAATTTTAAGGTAAAATATTGATGTTCTCAAAATCTCTTTCCAATGAAAACAAAAATTTCCAAAGAGAACAAAAATTAAGTTACTACTTAATTTGTATTTAATAATACATAAAAATCAATTAAACAAAAGAAGATGACCATTTCCAAGAACCTCTACAGCCTTGGGTAGGTCATCTTGTCTTGTAACCACACACAATATCACCAGAATCCCTTTGGAGGGGCAAGAGAAGGAGGTTATTATTTAGATGAACAGCCTGAGAAACTCTACAGTTCTTTATAACTGCCTGTAGCAACAGTGTGAGAGGCAGTATAAGCAATCCATGAGGGAAAATGTAATTATCACAACAACAGAGGCTATTTTGATTACCTTCTAACCACAACAAAGATAAGCAAAAATATTGAAGTCTTGGAGATTCCAGTTGAATGACATATCATATCATATCATATCATATCAAATCCAAAGACGCATGGTCATCTTGACAGATGAAGATAAAGCATTTAGTAAAATGCAATATCCTATCATGGTAAAACAAAACATTTAAACCCCAGTTTAAAATTCTAAGAAATGTACCTTAGTACAATATAAAGTTACACATTATAACCTGCAGCAAACATCCTGAAATGAAGAAAAGATAAAAGATTTTACTGAGAAGTCATGAATGAGATAATGTCCATTTTCATACTATTAGTCAACACAGGATCCAGTGAAAAGATAAAAAAGACTTTGTAAAACAAGTAAGGAGAAAATCAGAAGTTACTAAGTAATAGATGGCATGATTTTATATGTGGAAAATCATGAATTTTTCTCCTAAAACAAAATTTGTTAGAACTGATGTATTTACTAAATTTACAGGATACAAAATCAACAGACAAAAAATATAATTTTATAAATAAAAAATTGTTGATCAAGAAATTAATAAATAAGCCTATTCATTGCAGCCAAAATAAAATAATCTAGTGGCATATTTAACCAAGGAAGTTGAGTGATCTCTACAATAAAAACTATAAAATATTAATGAAAAAAATTATCAGGACATTGAAAAGTGAAAAGACCTCCTGTATTCTTGAACTGGATAAGCCAATATTGCTAACCAAAGCAATTTAAAGACCTAATGTGCTATCTAGAAAAATGCTAATGGCATTCTTCATATAGAAATAGAAAAATAATCTAAAATTCACATGGAAGCAAAAAAGATGGTTATTGGGTAATCAATCTTGAATAAAACAAGGCCATAAAATTTGAATATCTGACCTTTACATATTACAAGACTATATAGTAAACAAAACATGATACTGTCACAAAAAAGGGCACACAGCAATGAAACAGATCACAGAAATTAATCCATAACATCTAAAGACAAATTATTCTCAACAAAGTTTCTGAAGTACACACTGGAAAGTAATAGTTTCTCTAATGCATAATGTTGAGAAAACTAAATCCATACACAGAAGAATGAAGCTGGACCCATCTTCCACTGTCTGCAAAAATCAACTCCAAATGGATTAAATGCTTAAATGTATGACCTTAAATTACAAAACTATTTACTTCAAGAAAGCTTAGAGAGGTCTTTCAAGAAATTCATACAGACAACAATTTTTTGGATAAGACCACTAAATGCTGTGCAAAGCTGCTAAATGACATCTGTTATTTCTCATGCAGAAAAGGAAGGTGAAACTAGATTAAAAACCTAAATTTAAAACCTGAAGAGCTGAAGCCACTAGATGAAACATGGGATAGAGAGATAGACAGAACATTGAGAACATAACGCCAATAGTATAGAAAACAGACTCAAGAATTCACAAATGGGTTTAAATAGAATTAAAAGGCTTCTGCATATAAAAAGGGTCCGAAGTGAGGAGACAACCTAGAAAACAGACGAAAACCCTTTGCCAGCTACACCTTGCCAGACAAGGTGTTGATATCTAGACTATGTAAAGAACAACAAAAAATGAACTCCCTCGAACAAAACTGCCAAGTGAACTGGCCAGATGCTTCTCAAAAGAAAACACAGAAATGTTCTAAGCATTTTTGAAGTGTTCAACATCCCTAGACATCAAGGAAACACAAATCCACTTTGAGAATCCACCTTCCCCCAACAAGAATGACTATTATCAAAATGAAAACAAAACAAACAAACAAAAAACACTGGCAAGAATATGGGGAAAGAGGAACCTTAGTTATCATTGGCAGGAGTGTAAGCTGGTGTAGCTAGTCAGAAATCTGCAGTTTGTCAAAAACCTAAAAATATTACTATCATACGACCTAGCTAGGCCACTTATAAGTGTATACACAAAGGACTCTACACAAGAGATACTTATCCATGTTTATGAATGCTGTCTTCTCAATATTAAGGAAGCAGAGTAAGCATAGATGTCCACCAACAGATGAACAAATATTGTAAATGTGACATAAACACACAAAGGAAAATTATTCATATATAAATTGAAATAAAATTATTCAATTTAAGGAAAAATATATGGAACTGGAAAATGTTATATTACACAAGGAAACCCAGGTTTAGAAAGACAAATGACACATTCTCTCATATATGGATTTCAACTTTTAATTTCTTTTTGGGGGAGCAGCATCTTGCTATGTAGCTCTGGCTGGCCCAGAACTTCCTATATGGACCAGGCTGGTCTCATACTCACAGAGATCTGTCTGCCTCTGCCTCCCATTTGCTGGGATTAAAGGCGAGTGCTACCACATCCAGCTTTAATTTATATATAATGCATTGAAGTAGGAAGCATAGATGCCAAGGAACAGAACGGGGACCTGACAGGAAAAAAAGAAGCTTTAAGTGGGAGCAATAGGGAAAGTAATAGAACACATGTGATATGATACTAAAAGGAGGATTACTTAGGATGGAGGGAATTTTTTACAGGTAACAGGGTGAGGAGATGCTGAAGAGGGCAGGGGAAGGGCAATAAAACTTAGTAGGTATATAAGTGCCATAATAAAATCTGCTACTTTATATGTAAAGAGAGATGATAAATGGACAGATGATAGATAGACAGATATATGACAGGTAACAGATATAAAAGATAGATAGATAGATAGATAGATAGATAGATAGATAGATAGATAGATAGATAGACAGACAGACAGACAGACAGAAAATAAAAGCAAAGGGGTGGGGGGAACAAACAAAAAGCCTAGTGCCAGGAATGGGTTACCTCTTTTGGATGTGTTGGTCAGTGAGGTTACATAGTCCTCAAACATTACCTTCTATTACAGTCTACTGCCAATGTTCTTGGTGACCTTTTAGAACACGACAGTTAAGACCCTATTGCTGAAGATACCACACAGTCTGGACATAGGACATGGAGAAATCATGTTGGTCCTCACCTGGAAGCCTCACCCCTACTAGATAGCATTCAGTTCTGTCTTCTCCACATACCTAAGTTCTGCGACAATCCTAGGTCAAATATAGGTACTATGGGCTTGCTCTGCCCAGTCCAGCATTGTAGAGAGCTGCGTAGTGCCACGCCTTAAAGATGGCGCCGGCTTCCGCCTTCCATCCCCCTGATCGGTGAGTGCTCTCTAATCGTAAACAACTCCATTTATGGCCAAGACTTGTGATCAGGCTTGCTTCTGCGTACCTGGACCTATCTGCATTTCCCACATGGCTTGCTGGGATTGGCTACCCAGAAGCTATTTAAGCTGTGGGCTGACTTTCTCTGGGGTCAGAAGATTGTTCAAGGTTCCTAAGTAAACTGCTGAAAGAAGAGGCAAGTGTTGCATCTTCCTTGCTGGTTGAGGCCGTCGCAACACAGCATGGCTAAGCCACTTGTGCCTCTGAGAGCCAAGTACACTTCCCCACTTCCAGTCACAAAGCTGGTCCACGTTTCCATCAAGTAAGCTGTAGCACTTTACTCACAAACCCCATCCAAATGCTCTGTCTCCCGCAAGAGACAGAGGTCACACAGGCAGCATAGCCCAGAAAGCTGGCATTTTAAAACCGTGCGGCTTTTTTTTTTCTGCTATAGATGAATCAGGAAAATCTTTCTTAAAGCAGCAGTGGCAAGCCACCACCAAACAACAAGAAGTTATGTTAAACTCTGTATTCTATTTGAAGCTCTCTCAGATTTTATGTGAATTTAGTTGATCAGTGGGCACCACTCTGTAACAGGAGAAGTAGGCTGCTTGTCATTCTGGCTGCGCGGCTATTCTACACCCGAAATAATCACACAGAAACTGTATTCATTTAAGCACTGTCTGGCCCATTAGCTCTAACTTCTTACTGGCTAATTCTTACATCTTAATTTAGCCCATTTCAATTAATCTGTGTATTGCCACGT